AGCTCGTACGTGAGCTCGTACGTGAGGCTATACAAATCGGCGAGGCTATACAAATCGGCGTGCAGCCTTGCCGATTCGTGCAGCCTCGCGTATAGTGTCACGTGATGTATAGGTGAATGCCCGGAGGCTCCGGAGCCGTAATCCGAGCCAATAGGAAGGCGGTGAAGCGCCAAGAGGGGGGGGGGTGTACAATTAGTGAAAAAGGGGTGTACGATTAGTAAAAAGGGGGTATGCTATTAGTAGTGCCCTAAAAGAAAGCTAATAAATAAATTAAAAGTAAAATATATTAAAATAGAAGGCGCCTAGGTAGAAGTATATAGCAGTAAGCGCGCTATAAGCGCTGCGGCGAAATAGGATATAATATTTATACGTGTTAAAAAAATAAGAAAGTTATTATAGAATAGACTATAAGTTAAATTAAGTTAATATTTATTAGTATTATAGAGTAATCTATATTTAAAGCTATTAAAAGTTAATAAAGTAGCTAGCTTACTTAGATAGCCGGCTCGCTTATATTACACGTTAAGTATAGGTAAATAACTCCGCGCTGCTAGCCGCTTTAATTTTAGTACTTTTAGCTTTATTAAAAGCGTTTATATAAAAACTAAACTTTTTTATATAGTTATATAGTTGCTTAAAATAGTAAGTTTAGGTTTTTTTATTAAAATACCTTTTAGCGGTTTTATATAACGTATTCTATAAGCGAGCCGTTTACCTAAGCAAGCCGTCTACTTTATTATAAAAACCGGCCTTAAACGTTAATTGCTTTATAACGCTAATAGATATCAACTATATATAACTTATAGCCTAATCTGCAGCAACCTCTGCATTATTTTTGCACGTACGAATATTATGCCCTAGCTCGCCGCAGCGTCTATAGCGCCGCGCGCTCCCGCTAAAATCTGCCCTGCCTTGCTGCCTTTTACTTTAGGCGTCCTTATTAAGCCTTTAAGCAGCTATTTAAAAGCCTGCTTCTATTATTAGAGTTCCTTTTCTTTAGATCCGCTTCTTTTTACGCGCCTTACGCTTTATAGCGGCTTTATTTACCTTTTAAAGGCTGGCAACTATATCGCGTAGTAGTATAGCTTAATATATTATTATTGCAGCACCTTTAGAAAGGCTGCTAAGCGCATTAAGAATTGCTATAGGCGAGCTATTTTAATGCCTTTAAATATAATTATAAATTAAAGCTAATTAAGAGCCTAGCTTATAAGCGTTGCTTAGTATTTTTAATTCCTATTAAGCCTCTACTACGGCAGGAGGCAATAGTATATAAAGCCGAATATTAAGCTTTAAAAGCACTGCCTCTAGATTAAGCAGTATAAGGCCTGCGCCTTAAAAGCCTGCGCAAATATTACTTTTTATAATTAAGTTATAGAAGGCTACTTTAAATACTAGTAAAAACTCTAGCTTTATAATATAGTTAATATAGTGGCGTATTAAGTCCTTAATTTAGCGCCTGTATACCTTTTTTAACGGCGTAAAGCAGCTAATATTAAGCGGCTGCAGTAGGTGTAATAAATATACTAGTATATAGAAAGTAATAATATTATTCTCCTTATAAATCTCTTTAAATTTAAGTAAGTAGTAGCTTTTATAGCTATTAATAATTAGCAGCTAATATATACCTATAGTGCGATCCTTTATATACTTATTAAAATACTACAGCCAGGTAATACTAAGCTTATTTATTATCTAGCTATTATTACTTACTGCTATAACCTAGTCTAGTAGTATATTATTGCCCTTATACTATATAAAAAGGTGGTACTTACCCGAAAAGATAATAAATAGCGGGATAGCCTATCTACAGGTATTAACTCCTTAGATTATTATTATCTATTTACGATTGCCTAGCTGTATTAATTTTAGATAATTGCACCGCTTAGAGCCTGTTATAACCACGCTAGTTAAGATAATACCTATTTAGAAGCCAGCTTTATTAAAGTTATATATATGTTACAACCCGTAACACAAACCACCCGAGCGCAGAGGCACTCGCGGAGACAAGCAAGCAGATAAGACTAATTACAGAGAACCAGGTCACAGGACCAAGAGGGTCACGCGTAGGACGGATAGGGATCCTGGATTCCCCCACGGACTGCTGGTAGATGGGAACGATCTAAGAATAGGAATCACGGGACGAAGAGGTCACGTGATGGATTAGAAGGAAAGAACTAAGGATTAGCATAATCTAAGAGTGGGTTATAGATCGGACTGATCCAGGGAGAGATCAGAGCGATCCACGCATCTCTTGGGAGGGAGCCTTTGTATATAGGGACGCTCCTTTGCATAGATAGGAACCTCGTGTTCAACTTAAGACTTTAATATTACCTATTAGAAGTAACCACCCCGTCTTGAACCTTAATTAATTATTGCCTCACCTTTTAAAGACTATTACACCCCGACAACAACTTGCCTATACCCTGCCTTAGTGTAAGACACTTAGAAGGTATAAAAGAGACAACCTGTTACACTTTAAACACCGCTATATTAAAGGAGTCGCATATAAGGGATTAATTAAGATGGCCCTACCAACCCCTTCGGGTAGCACGACTGCTGGACCAACCCTAACTATAACCGAGGTAGCAACACGCATGCAGGCGTTGCTTACATAAATACAAACACTAGAAGAAGCTAGCAACACTAAGGACAAAGAGATTACGGCCCTACAGGGGAATCTCTAGACTGTCTAAGGAGAGCTTACTACTACTAAAATAGTCAGCCACAGAGGCTATAAGATAAATAAGCCCGAAGAGTTTACTGGGGAAAGAGGAGCTTTGCGAGCGTTTATAACGCAGATGAGGCTATACCTGCGCATGAACTAAAGCAACCTCGAATTCGAATTGGACAAGGTCTGCATGGCAGCCACCTTCTTAAAAAAAGAAGCGTTCGACTGGTTCAACCCGATGCTTACAGACTGGCTCGGCAATGCCGACGCAGACAATCGGAAACCAGAAACCAATATCATATTTAGCGACTACGGATACTTCGAGTC